CATCCAATCTATACGGCATGACCCGAAAGCTCTTAGAGATTTACGACTCAATCTCCTCCCTGTAGCTTTCATTTGTTTACCATAGTCTTAGTTTTAGTAGAGGTTTTACGGCGCTCGCAACTGCATACGGTCGTATGTGCGCCAGAAGATTGGAGGTATTACAAGAGAGTAACAAACATAAAAAAAGAAGATGGGGCGATAAAGACGATAGATGTTTAATAGATAAGAAGAAGCAAACCACTCCAGAGCACCCGCCAACCACCCACTTTCCATAGTCAAGATCATTTAGGAGACAGGCTGCCTCGACATTGCCCGTCCGTCCAAACATTTCATCAAAGTGGCCTCGGTGGTATAGTGGTTAGTCTACGGTTCAGGGCGGTTTGCTAGCCAGATTGAGGGGGGCTCTCGTGGCCTGGAGGTTAAGGTGTTGGCTTCTCATTCAAAGGTCCCGGGTTCAAATCCGGGTAGCGACCGAAATATTTTTTTTCTCTAAAATGGTATCCTTTCACTTCCTTTCCTGCTCTCTAGCAATGTTTCTTTCGTCTCCTCTTTCTGCCCCTACCCTTTCACCTCCTTTGCCCCTCCCCTCCCTGGGCTTCTGACTCTTTCTGGACCCTTTCTACTGCTACTCCTTGGCTCCTTTTTACTGTTGTCTTTTTCACACCCCTGATCTTCTGGTAGGAAAGATTACACCTAGCCTTCTCGGACAAGGGTGAAAAATCTCGGAAGGCCCGTGTGCAAGTTGCGCACGTTAAAGATCCCTTGGTGGTATAAAATCGATTAGAGTAGCCTTCGGCCGCCATCTGGGCAAAATTCAAAATTTCCTACCAACTGAAAGGGTTCAATGTGTCCCGCGCGCTCATATGATCTCATGCAGTTGCGAACGCCGTAAAAACACCAACAAATAAAAAGCCAGATTGAGGGTGCAAAGGGGCTATCGTGAAATGAACCGATTGCGCCCGACTCGTCGCCTTAAAAACGAACGCGTTTATTTTCAGGCGACGAGTCGGGCGATCGACCAGACCTGACCCGACCCGATCCGACCCGACCCGATCCAATCCGCAATGGGCACTCAGTATGATATTGCAGGTTTGGGGATTCGAGCCTCAGTTCGGTCAAGCCTCCGCTGGGTCCGATGCTGTGTCCTTGCGAAATGTACTTTACACGAACTTCCTGTTCAGCTGAGTCCTTTCGGAGATGGACATTAAACTCGGGGGTGCCGTCTTTAAAAAAATAAATTTAAAAAACAACAACTAATAGTGTTGGTAGGGACAGTAAACTTATGCCGTTTCATTTCTCATCCTATCTACAGAATTTAATTTTGTCCTGAAAGATCTTACACTATAATTGGTCGCTTATAAGCAATAGGGAGCTATACCTAAAAATGCTGTTTATAGAAAATCGAAGGTAAGGTTTTTGAACTCTTGTTCAAGTTCTTTAGAATACAAGGAGAGTTTTCTCAATAACCAAACAAATATGCGCACCAATGAAATCAAACTTCTCCTGTAGGTAGGGCAATGCCCACTTTTGGTGCAGGTCAAGATTTCTGGAAAAACCCGAAATCTGGGTTAGCCCACTTATCCTTAAAAGGGACCAATTATCTGTTGTGAGGCAGCGTGGTGAAATCAGGCGCTCGTCAAAATATTGAAATCAAAGAAAGCGGACATTTTCTGATCGTTTGCCAATTTTTAAAAAATTTTAAATAATGGGTTCAACACCTTTTACGTCCACTTAAAAACAATTTCTGTATGAATTGTACTGTAAAATGTTGTTCAAAGGCACAAAAAAGCAAATTTCTAACTTTCAAGGACACTGATCAAGCTTTGAAAGTTAACAATTTTTTCGAGGCCATTTTCTCGCTAATTTTACCTCTGACACCAGGCCACCCCACCTCCTTCAATCGCAAATATCTCAACTTCTGCTCAAGATAAATGGGTTTTTTTTTGTTTTTTTTTTTCTTGCCAAATGCGAGACAAATTAGCAAGCTTTAAAATAATACTAATAACTCCATATGCCCCAAAATTGACGAGCGCCTGATTCCAATGTGTTGTGACTCATTTTTATCTCATTCTCCTTCCCGCTTCACCGCATTCCATAACACTGTGTCGATAGTGTGACGAGCCCTGCTAGTTTTCAAGGTCTCCATGTCCCATTATAGCACAGAGGAATGTGGGTTTGGGCAAAGAATAACTTGAATGGTAATGAGTATTCGCATTATGATGAAGCAAATCTGCTGAAAGTGTACCTTCCAGTTAGAAGTTGTATTTTTTATGGGGGGGGGGGGATATTTTACGGTACTTGCAACACAATAAGGTCATATAAGTGCCGAAGATCAAAGGTGTTACAACAGAGTAACAGACACAAGATAGAAGGAGAGGAGATAAGGACGATAGATGTTTGATAGGAAAGAAGGAGCAAGCCACACCACAGCACCCACCAACCACCCGTGGAATGTGAGTTTGGGTAAAGAATAACTTGAATGGTAATGAGTATTCGCATTATGATGCAGCAAATTTGCTGAAAGTGTACATTCCAGTTGGAAGTTTAATGTCATCAGCTGACAAAACAAACAACTATTGGCTTCGATTAAATTAAAATCAAAGAATTTGCATTTAATGGTCTCATGATATGATAATCTAAGAGAGAGCAAATCTTTTTGTGCTTTCAAAAGTCAGACGGAATCATTTCTGTTTTTAGCTTAAACAGTTATCAAGCGGCCAGGGAGATAGCTAGCTAGCTAGATAGCTAGCTAGATAGATAGCTAGATAGATAGATAGATAGATAGATAGATAGATAGATAGATAGATAGATAGATAGAGAGATAGAGAGATAGAGAGATAGAGAGATAGAGAGATAGAGAGATAGATAGAGAGATAGACAGTCAGATTCATAGATAGACAGATCGATCGATCGATAGATGGATAGTTTGTTTTAGTAGAGGTTTTACGGCGCTCGCAACTGCATAAGGTCATATGAGCGCCAGAAGATTAGACGTGTTGCAAGAGAGTAACAAACATAAAAAAGAAG